CACACACACACACACACACACACACACACACACACACACACACACACACACACGTACCCTATAAGCGCATAATATTATTTAATATTTTAAGCATATTCTTAGAATATTAATTGTACATTTAATATTCTAAGAATATGCTTAAAATATTAAATAATATTATGCGCTTATAGGGTATATATGTATATATATGTAGTAGGTTTTTCGTCCTGTAAAGTTGAATAGTTTTCAATAGGAAATTGTTCAGTCGCAAAATTGTGAGAAACAATTGCGAAAAATGTAGTTTTCATACAATAACGAGCGTGATTGTAACTATCAAACTTGCAAGTTTCACAATTCGGTAAAGTTGTTACTTAAAGATTTTTCTATCGCTTCCTATAATCTTGCTTAGCGACAGCAACAGTACTGTGTCGTTGCAACAGAAATAATGATGAATGAAAAGTGGAAGTCCGATGTATCAATTATCTTAATATATATTAATGAGACTGGTATATGAATATCGTTTAACTTGCCGTTACCGCCTGTCGTCGAGAATACGAAAATTATTGACGCGCGGTAATAAATGCTGCTCTCGCACGCTGACGATTTTACTTGAACTTTTTGCTCGCGAAAAGCCAAGACGACGATCTCGTTCAAGCTTGCTCAATAATTACTAACGGCACATTTCTTTCTTTTTTTTCTTTTCTTTATATGCGCATGAACGCGCGTCTGACGAGATGAGTAATTTAATTCCCATATGTAACGCAGGTCATACAAAGTACGATAAAACATATAAGTGAATCGTGATGAATGAAACGGGATCGCATTCACGAGTGCGAACGTAAAAAGTTAGTTAGTCGTTACTTTCGTGCCAATTACTACAATTGCTGAAACGCCCGGCTTCTTAACACGAAATCAAGCCGGTGTAGGTGCCTTATAACTGGCGTACCGCAATTGTTGCAATTGTTGCCATTGTCACGTTCCATCGTTGCATTGGACGAGCGTGGATACAACAAGCGCCGAGACGCCATTGTCCTCTACGACAGAAATTATCGGCGAAATGTACGTGAGTGTGGGAACCGCAAAAAGAACTACGAACAATTACGATTATAATTGCGCGCGCGTTCTGTCTACACTTTCGATAAGTACGCTAAGTAATGTATAACGTATACGTGATAATATCGGGAATGAATCATCCACACACACACACACACGCGCGCGCGCGCCTTTATGTTAATTTACATAATTAGTTTTCTATATTTATTTAATATGAAAATCGCGACCAATGTAAATGTAAAATGAAACTGAAGCAGCAGTATTTAACGCCGGATGTGCGCTGAGAACACAAAAAGACTCGATGTTTTTCTCCAACATAATCATTGACGCATACTTCGTTACACGTGTAAGAACCAGCATGACTCGAATCCTTTTAATATCACGCTATATCATGCTACTAACCTTGCTTTTTTTTAAATTGCAAAAGTGCATCCATACGAAGACTAAAGGTTGATCGATATCGTACAATGGGTTCTGTTACACTTGCAATATATCGTTAAGATATCAATATCATTGAGACTTATCTTTTACGTTACGTATGTGTGTGTGTGCGCGTATGCACGTATAATGTTCACGTAAAAAACATGTAAAATATTTTCATAGCAAGTTTCTTTATGTGAACATAGTTAAAAGAGTTAATTATTTAACGAAATTAAAAAAGTAAATTTTAATATCAGAATACACATTTTTGTTTATATAAATTTGCATTTTTTTTGTAAGCATCTGAATATTTTATATAATATGTGATACAAATAAATAAAAAATACGTATTTTAATGAAATAGGCAAGTGGGTAGAAATTTAGGGAGTGTATCAATCGATGTTATGGCCATTTCCTTATTAAATTAATCAAGTCATGACATGTGAAGAACATTTACATCAACCCACAGGATTTTATGTTTTTGATGTGTCTTCGCACGTAGCGTGCTTGTTTCAAATTTATTATACACCTACGTATGGTTATCCATGTATGCATACACAAATGTTTTGTAGGTAGTGTCTCTCTCTTTTGTCGAAAATGGAAAAAACACTTAA